AGGAATGATAAAATTCTTAATATAATAAATCTCACTTACTACAACTGTAACTAACCAGTTACTGCCATACTTGTTCGACCCTGGTAGAACCAATCTGACTTAACAGTATCACCTTGCCTGAAAACATGTATTTATTAGTTACTCTACCCTCGCTGGCATACGTGAAGCGTACACACACAACTATTCCCAGCAAGGAATACTCTCACGACTCAGCTTGCCCCAAGAGAAGCGATTAAAAAGCAAAACAGCAAAAAAACCCAGCAGAAAGTCCCTCCAACGGCCTCTCAACACGGGCTGTATCGAAACCAGAGCGCTCAGTCGATGTGAACCTGCCGACACGCAGCGCTGCAGAACAGCGCAGGCAAGATCCGCCTCGCCTGTCCTGTCCTCTCCGACGGACCCGCAGCAGCGGAGCAACGCGAACACACAGGTAGGTGTGCGCCAAGGCACCAAGCCGTGCACCTAACTGGAACCAGACTGGGCTGTCCGTCACCAAAACCTTTTCCTGGGCGCACGTACATGGTATTACTGAGCTCGCCAACACCTCTACAGTTACGGGTGAGCTTGACTCACCTAAAAAAACAGCCCCAGCCCCACAGATAAGCAGCAGCAACCAGGCACACGTATACCAATGGTGGTTTCAGAACCCACTCCGATACCCAGCTAGTGATTCCTGTGGCCTCTTCCAAGCAGAGCACCTGTCCCCAGCTCGTTCACATCAGACCTAAAGTCTTTTGAGCGCCCAACAGCCCTTGGAAATGGAATGGTTCAACTGTACATTTAAATAAGGGCTGGAAAGATGAAGGAAAAAAAAAAAAGAGTATAGGCACTAAAAGCTAGGATTGACAATAATGAGGTGCACTTTGAAGCCCAGGACCCACAGCACTATCGCTATTCTCCTCGACTCCATGGATTACTGTGAGTAACTGAATCGTCAAGATTTCCTTTGGTCACTAATTCATCCAGATTACACCACCGCTGTACTTCAAATACCCGTTCAGTAGGGGAAAAAAAAAGGACATCTGCTTGCCCTGGGCAAAAAGGGTGAGGATCCAGCTAAGTTTTATTAAGGCATAAGATGTTTTTAACAGAAAATGAGAAAAACGCAGTTGCCCGTGCTCTCTGTTAACAGCGGCCTCCTGACCTGCAGCCGGGTTTTAGCCAGCATAGCGCCCAGTCCCCTCGGAGCACCTGAAGAACGCCAGGTTCAGAGGGCAGGGGAAGTTGTCTCAGCTGCAAAAAAGATGAATTTAAGACCAAAAATCGGAAATACCACTCTGATGCCGCGACTATATTCACAGGCTAAAAAAAAAAAAAACCAAAAAACACCCAACTCGCCCGCAGCTGCTGACCGAAATGATACAGCGTTTTGCCACCTAACTGCACTGAAACCTCGCTTTTAAACAAACAAACAAAAAAACCACTCGCAATGTCCCTCCCGCGGCTCGCTCTGTCCCGGGGAGCCTCGTCAACCCTACACCGGGGACGAAACGAGAAGGGGAGGCCGCCCGGTGGGTCAGGCCCAGCTCGGCGCTCTCCGCCACCGAGGAGGCC